GGAGCGTCTCTTTGAAGTCAGTGCTTGAAATCACAAGCTGCTCCTGGACTCCCTCTAGAATCAACCAGGAATTTGACAAAAAGAGACAGTACCAGACCAGAATCCAAACCTAAGCCTAAACCTACCCTGCAGATGAGACTGATGAGCTCCACCTGGAAGTAGTTCTCCAGCTGGCCACTCCCTGCTCTGCCCTTTGGGCTTTCACCTGGCTTGCTTCCCAACCCGTTAGCCCTTAAGCCAAAATTCTCCCTAGAATGCCAAATTAAGCAAGTAGCAGCTCACATCAGGAAGTGGCACGCGGCAGACTCTAAACACTTAGTTCCACTGCAAAGGATGGCTCTGGTCTTGAGGGTGGCGGAGTGGGTCACCTCAGCAATTTTGCATGACTTGCTTGACTCGCTCCCAAACTCCCTTTTTGTTTTCCTGGTAGTTGCAGAAATTATCGGACCAACCACAAGAGCAACACTGAAGTTGGCTTCCTGATCTGACCCCTCCTCCCTGGCAATAGACCCTAAAGGAAAACTCAAGACAGTTCCTTCCATGTAACTTAATATTATCCCCTAAATCAGTCTTTCCTAATGCTGTGACCCTTTAATACAGTTCCTCATGTTGTGGTGGCCCCCGTTCATAAAATTATTTCATTGCTATTCCACAACTGTCATTTTGTTACTGTTATGAATAGTAAGGTAAATATGATATGCAGGATTGTAAATAGAAACCTTTTCCTTGAGAGAAGCCTTCCCACCAGCCTGATTCCAGAGCCGCATGAGTCCCAAATAACACACAGGAGGCTATATTAATTATGAAGCAGTTGGTCTTGCTTGTTTCTTACTGGCTAGCTCTGACTTAAGTAATTACCCCATAATTGTTAATCTAAGTATTTCTCTTACCAGAGAACTTTCTGGGCTTCCTACCCCATGGCGTTACATCTTGACTCCCTGTGTTTCTCCTACCCAGAGTCCTCCTGGATTCCTAGTCCCACCTATCTTGGTTCCCTATTGGCCAACAGTGCTTTATTGACATATACACAGGACTTCCCCCATCACAGGATATCTGATATGTGACCTCGAGAAAGGGTCATTTGACACACACGCGCGCTCAAGCACACACACACACATCGTGACCCACAGGTTGAGAACCATTGCCCTAAATTAAACCATCGATGAAGAACACCCACCAACCAATAAGTATATGGGTGGAAAGTCGGTGTTTCAGACAGCAGCCTGGTCTCACGGTGTGCCCATCAGAGGGAATGTGGCGCTTGCTCAGTGCGGTTACTGGACACTGGAGCTTGAGAATAAGCTGGCTGAGAAGGTAGGCCGTCACAGGCTGCTAACACTCTCACGGTAGCCTTATTCACTGAGGAGTAGATGCCTTATTGTACTGTTGGCTTGTCACCTGGTTAGCACCTTGCTGACATGGGGTCATGAGAGACCTCCGCTCTGAGTACAAGGAAACACCAGATTGGGATCATCTGACGACAAATGCAGTGTTGTCTAACCGAACCACACTGAGAAGCAACAACTCAGATTCTGATCCTCTTACGTGTCTCCCTCACCCTGACCCACGGTGTGAGCCCGGAAGACACGAGAACTCCCCAGCAACAAGTGAGGAGCCGTGCAGTGAAAACCAGCCAGGTGGCCTCTTGTAATCCATCCACAGCTCACAAGGGCTCAGTCCCCAAACTCACCGCACACTGACGCTACAGTCCCAGGCCATGGGGCCCTAAGTCTGGGCTCCCTTGGTCCTCCCTCAGGCTCATCTTCCTAGAACAGCGCACAGAAGCCGGGGAAACATCCACGTGTGTGTGCTGGGCTATTACAAAAGATACATATGAGGAAATTCACGGGGTGAGACGCACCATTCTCCAGATGGAGATGGAGTGCCGGGTGAAACCTTGACTAAATAAGCATGTAGGGAAGTGTGGGCAGCCATGTTGAAACGGGATAGACCAAATGGGAAAACCCGGCAAAGCCTCCCCAGATCCTCCCTGCTCTTGTGCAGCCTCGCTTTCTTACAGCAGATATGCGGGAACCCTTCTGAAATGGAGTCTTATGCTACACTTCAAATAACTCACTTTTAACTTTATTAGTAGTACTACTCTGACATAGTACCGGGGATGGAGCTCAACCCAGGTTATTTCCACTTTTCTAAATGGTTTATTTCTAATTTTGTGTCTGTGTGGGGAAGGCACATGAGTACAGGTGTCCATAGAGACTGGAGGCATGAGAGCGACCAGAAGTTGGAGTTATACACAGGTGGTTGTGAGCTCCCTGATGTGGGTGCCAGGAGTCGAACTCAGTTCTGAAAGAGCAGGGAATACCCCTAACGTTTGGGCCATCTCTCAGCCTCACAAAAGACAGAAAGAGAAAAGGAACATTTGCTTCCATTGCCTGCCTTAGGGAAGAGACATTCTCATTTCTAAGATTTGTCTTGCGGAGGGAGTGAGGAGTCAGGAATCAAGGAAACACACGTGCGTGTGCTGGGTGTATACATATGTACACGCACACACATATATATATATGTATTTGCACATACATACATACACACACACAGATACTGGGTGACTGTCTTACGAAAGGAGGAGGAAAATGTCATATACATTCTCTCTTTTAAGACAGGGTCTCAATGTGTGGCCCCAGGCTGGCCTTGGAACTCACAGTAATCCACCTGCCTCTGCCTCCCAAGTGCCGATTAAAGTGTGTACCCCCACACTAGGCATCACAAGCATTCTTCATGGTTCAGTCAGCGGTTTTCCAAGGGCTCACAGCACGTAAGAGGGGAGATTTAAGATCTGGCAAAGGCAGGAAAGGCTTGTCCCGGAGAGAACGAGGAGCAGTCTCTCTCAGTGGGAAAGTGAAAAAGAGGAAGATGACCCCGTGCGCCCCAGAGGTCTCGTTCTTGTTTCCACTAACCCCTGGGAACCAAGAGGACCTCCCAGCCTAACCTGGTGATGCTGCGAAACCTCGGCGAGATATAGAGCGGCAACACGGACACACGTGACAATCAGCAGCAACACGGACACACGTGACAATCAGCAGCAACACGGACACACATGACAATCAGCAGCAATACGGACACACGTGACAATCAATCAGCGGCAACACGGACACACGTGACAATCAGCAGCAACACGGATACACGTGGCCATCAGCCTTGCAGGGAAAAAAATGGAAGGAAAACATAAAAGGTCTTGCTGCCTATGGAGGCAAAGGAAAACTCGATGCACCAACAAGGGAGAGTTGCTGAGGCTGAGAAGAACAAGAAGAGGAGGTTGAAGAGGACAAGGGAGAGAATGGAGATAAAGATAGGTTGATTCCAGCAGGTGGTTTTCTGTTTTGTTTACTATAAAGTATTTAACCCTCACCTTTTTAATGAAAAGAACTGAAATGTAAAACTGTGTAAGGGCTGGTTTTAAGCTGTAGTGTCTTATTATTTCGTTAACACACTACTGAATGTCTTTTTTAAAAAAGCTATATATGTTTGGAGCTGTGCATGCACATGCAGTACCCCCAGAGACCGGGGTGGGGTGGGGGTGTCGAATCCTCTGTAGCTGGGAACCAAACTAGGGCCCTCTAAGAGCAGCTTATGCTTACACCTCTGACCCATCTCTCTAGCCTCTTCTTCCATGGCTCTTTAGATAGTCCTTCCTGATGGTTCTCAGTAGCACTAACCTTGCCTGACACATTATGGGGCCTTATGAACTGAATGGAAATGTAAAGCAGGTCCTTTTTTGTTTTGGTTTGATTTTTCCTGACAGGGTTTCTCTGTGTAGCTTTGGAGGCTGTCCTGGAACTCACTCTGTAGACCAGGCTGGCCTCGAACTCACAGAGATCCACCTGCCTCTGCCTCCCAAGTGCTGGGATTAAAGGTGTGAGCCGCCACCCGCCCGGCTAAAGCAGTTTCTTCTTGTGCGGTTTTCTTTGATGTAACTTTTAAGAATATGATTGTTCTGTTGACTGACACTATTGCAAAAAACACAAACACACTCCCATACATAAAAAAACAAAAGTTATCCTGTTGCCATTTTGAATACTTCTAAGAAAAGTACAGTCTTTCTTTTTAGTTTTTGAGACAAGGTATATGTCTCCCTGTAGCCTCAGCTGGCCTAGAACTATGTGGACTAGGCTGGCCTTGAATTGAGAGACCCACTTACCTCTGCCTCTTCAGTGTTTGCCAACATGCCCTGCCCAGAAAATACATTTTTAAGGCATTACTTTTGCCTGCATGTATGTTTGTGCACCAAATGCACGGTGTGCCCATGGAGTCCAGAAGAGGGCGCCAGATCAACTTGAAACTGCTGAGAAATGAACCCTGGTCCTCTGGGACCCCAGAATACTTAATTAGTGGAGGATAAATATTTTGTAAAGAAGTTTCCCCTATACTACATCAAAGTGCCTATCCAGAGCCAGTTCCTTCCCAGGGCCTGGCCCTCACTTCAACAAGACCTCTCGGGGGCAGTATAGCAGAACACGTTGAGCAGCCTTGGAGACAAGAGTGGCAGTTCCCACCAAATCCAAGAAAACTTCTCCATTCCATTTGTAGAAACCGTGTAGGAACCTAACGCCAAACACACCCTGCTACTTCGGTGGCCTGTTTTAGAGGTTAAAAAAAAAGGCAGGACAAGAATGGCAGGGGTGGGCTGGGGTTTCTAAGGACTTCCTGGTTCTGTTGGCAAAAGTCACAGGATAGCCACTTGGAAACGTTCTTTAGTGTTTGCATGGTTTTTATGGTTTTCAATGTGTATGTAATTCACAAGGACAACAATTTTAATGCCAGGACAGGCAGGGGGGGGCACGGGGGCTAGGATAAGGAAACAAAAAACGGTATTTGGAAGAATGATGTGCCCCTCCCTAGAAAACAAAACAAAAAAATCCTGTGAACAGTACTGAATTCTGGTACGTATCTCCCCAAAAAGCTTGTTCCAAAATTGAATATATATATATATATATATACACACATATATATATATTCATAAACAAAGGCATACGAATATCAACTAACGATTTCAATTTTTAATAATAGAAACAATTTTGCCATTCCAGACACAATTTCAGGGGAGAAACATCTTCCCTATAAAAATAAAACTCAAACTCATCAACATTATAAATATAGCTTTTAACATCTAGATTTAAAATGCTCCCCTGCAACTCTGCCCTTCATTTAACACCATTCTGGTACCATCACATTCTGGAGAGAAAAACAGTATTCCAGCAAAGCTTCGTTTCATTCTACAGAAGGCTTCAAACAATGGTTACAAATACAGATCTTTGGCCTCTGGGGCTTTTTCTTCTTTTATGCTTGGAAAAGGCTGCTGCAGGAGCCAGTGTTTGGGAGAGCAGCAGTCTTCAGGAGCCAGGAACTGGCAGATCTTCAATCCAGTCAAGCTCCCGAGTCACAAGTGTAGTGTACAGGACAGTGATCCAAGGTTCGGATGAATACAGATAAGGATTCCTGCATCACACACTCTACTTCAAGTAAAAAAATAAAATAAAATAAAAAAATTCACAGACAGCCCTCAGCTACTACTATTAGGTTCTAACAGGGTCTTAAACTGAGAAACTAACGCTTCACAAACTCTAAGCTTACTGGGAGGAGTAATTAAAAGACCAGATGGCCGGCGACAGCAAACACAATCCCAAGCCACAGTCTCAATAGTAAAACCAGTACAGAAACCATGAAGGCATTCCCTGAACAACAAAGGCAAAGTGTTGGGTGACAATGTCACTAAAACCTCACTGATGCGCTAAAAAGAAATTACATGCAAAATTAAACAAGATGTGCCATTCATATTTTATAGCTAGTTCTACTGTTTTTGTTTTATTTTTTTCCCCAACTCTTCCTAATAGCTTAGAAGATGATTGTCTCTGGAGCTTGTGGTACACAACCCACGCTTGGATCTGCCCCCTCCCCCATCCCATGCCGTTCTCTGACAAGTCAGGAGAGCCACCATGAAGGGACAGATACTCAGTCGAAGGCACGGTTCATAGAAAGGCAAATAGCCGGAGCACCTTGGAATTTCCAAAAGAATCCATTAAGTGTCACCGAGTTAACAATTCCTTGGGAATTTATAAACAACAGCAAAATCTATCTAGACTAAAAACAGACTGACTGTAAGGCCCCTCCGGAAGCCCAGCTCGCTGTTCCCTCTGCTCTCGGATTTGCAAGCTGCTGCGGGAAATGAGGCGATTGGGCCCGCCTGTCCCCGGGAAGGCTTCTATTGCACGTGTATTTCTTTGGTTGGAAGGAGCAGACGCAACACACTTCTGTTAAAATAGTCCCACAATGAAGGCCTCGTGTGCAGTCAGCTGGGTGTGGACTCCTTCTTTGGGGCCCTTAGTCAAATCTCTTATAGGCAAGGATGTGGTAGGATTGGGCCTTTAATCAGCATCCCTGTCTTCTAGGTTGGAAGAATTCTGGAGAGGGATGGCTGGGGGTGGGGGCAGGAAAGGACAAGAGAGTGATTGTCACAGAGTTTGCTGTGAGCCCTGGGCTTGACACATCTTCTAGCTAACAGGTGAAGGGAAGACAGCTGCCCTTACCTAAACTCCATTTTAACTCTGAGAACAACGTCTGGGGGGGAAATAACTTACATTTAATAGGAAATCAGTCATGGTCAGGCTCCACCTACACAGAGACGCTATACCTGGAGACCATCCATTGCATACCAGCACAGTGGTGTGCAGAGACCAGGTCCAGCAGCAGGAGGTCCACATCAGTCCACCACAAGTCAGGAGCAGTTCATGGATCCCTTCTTGGACTTAGCTCCCAGCCCTTTGGCTCTGACCCCACACTTTACAGCTACCTAGCAAATCAAGCAATCTTAAAATGACCTAACATGAACCCTGGATGCTTTAACTCCTTGACAAACAAATACACCTTCCTCCTCTATCGCTAACTCAGACACTATGCCACCTGCCCAAGCCATGGGCTCTCTCCTCTCCTCTCCCTTCCCGACGTGCGCTCTGCATTCTTCATCAAAACTCTTACAAACTCTTTTCCCGACCCCCCAGAGATCCTAAATTCCGGTCTTCCAGATCACGGGACACACTGTTCTGACAGAAGAAAACCAAGCAGGTAGTTCCACCACAGGACAAGTATTCAAAGGCTGCTTGTTAATATCTGCCCACCCTGAAGCTTAACAAAAATCACATAACCAAAGTCACTAGAAGAAAACAGGAAATCAAGCCAGAGTCCATGCTTCCAAGCAATCCAGGACGTGCCTGATGACCACAGGCTCACAGCTTGCAAGAGGTAGCATCGCCATGCCGAGACAGGACAAGCTTGCAGAGTCCCTTGTGCCAGTCCGTGAGGCGCAGGATGCTGTGTGACCAGGCTTTGAGAGCTGTGTCTAGAGGGAAAAGAGGAAGGTCCTGGCACAGCGGGGCGCGACATCAGCTCTCTGAGCAGACGACGCTGCTCTCCCACAGGTCCCGAGCTGTGCCCCTGGCGGGACGCCCCGGCCTTAGCCCTCACCCAGGGCTTCCTCCAGCTTCTGCCTGTAGGCCGCGTAGCGCCGCTTCAGGCTCTGCAGCTGCTCGTCTTCCTCTTTGTCCAAGATGCGTAAGAAGTTCTGCAGCTCTGGCAGGCTGAAGGCTTCCCACTGTGGGGGCAGAGAGGGATTGGCCACGTTAGCTCAGAGCCCGCACACGATGGCTCCAGTCCCCCACCCCACGCCCCCACCCGCAGAGACAAAGGCCTTGAACCCAGGTCCTCCTGCCTCAGCCTTCTGGACGCTGCTTCTTCAGCATGTGGCAGCAAGCCCTGCAGAACACCGGCTGTAACAAAGGGGACCATGGCCTGCCTCTGCCTCCCGAGTGCCGGGATTAAAGACTCGTGACACCGCCACTCTGGTGATGATGATTTTAAAGGAAGTATTTAGTATCACTTTATAGATCACTCTGAGTGGAAGGGTAGAATAATTAGATTAGCCTCAGGTCTTGTCTCCCATCTAAACACAGTGTCTGTCTCCTGATGTCGAAGCCAGCACGCCTGTTCGCCCAGTTTCAGGGACTGACTGCCTCACAGGACAATTCACACTTCTGACGTCTGGGGACATGGCCTGAAGAGTGTGTCCGGGGCCACTGAGAGTTCCAGACGATGTACAGGGCAGCCCAAAGTGCTTCTGAGTGGACACCCGGTCCATCGTCCCTGGAGAGACAGGGATGCTCTTGCAAACAGTACTCCCGGGTCCCGGGCTAGATGAAGAGGGGAGCGGATTTCCTCTATTTCCCTGTAGAAGGAAACTGGCCTGGAGTCTCAGTAGCAGATGCAGAGGGGAGGCCCAGCTGGATCAGTCATGTGGGCCGGGAAGAGGTGACTGACATTTGCTCTCTGAACGGCGATGAGTAAGAACTGCTGTTTCCTCCAGCTCCTGAGGAGCACATGGCAATAAAATGTCCTAAGAGAATTATGCTGTATGCTAACTTGGGGTTTATTTGAGGCGATTCAAAATCTCACCCCTTCCTGCTCCCTCAGATGCCTTTGTGAACAGTTCCTCTCTTACCTCTCCAATTTCATGTTCTCGAAGAACAAAACTAAGCGTGTCGGTTCTGGGTCCTGCTACCAAACGCAGGTAGAGTGGATGTTCCCGGTCGGAGAGCTTGCAGGCATACACTGGGAAAGACGACAAAGGGGTATTACAGAGGATGCCAGTGACTCTAAGACAAGTGCCCCCGCCATCCTGACATCACAGCACAGCAACAGTCCACACCCAGACCTCTATATCACTGCTCTCTCACCCTAACACCAAGGGCCCAGAGTGAACAAACTGTCCCTTCTGGGTACGCCAGCAAATCCTCCACACGTGTCTTCAACATACAGCAGCTACAAAGCCCCTCGACCACTCTTCAACTCAAAACTGCACACAGCCAGTAATCAAAAAGATCTTCCATGACAGAGTGTGGCTTCCACAGTCTGTCCCTGGGCTCTGACACAGTTTGACACGGCATCCATCAGATGTCTTTCCAATGAATACAAGAGACACACACAGAGCAGACAGACCAGTCTCATTTGCAAGGGTGACAACATACCTTGGTCTTCCCTGTGACAACGCTTATAAAGTGCAAACTTGGTGGGGCTCTCCGTCACCAGAAACTTCTTGAGCAGGGCCTCGATCACTTCCCCCACGGTGTTTGTGCTACTGATATGAAGTGTGTTCACACAGTCACTGTTACTGGGCGGGGGTCTCCCGGGGTTGGGAGGGGTCTGCGTCGGTTTGCAGAGTTCCATCTGCACCTTAATGAAGCCAGTGTAAATCCCATTTGAATTCTGAAGATGGAAGAGAGGTCACACTGAGTGGGGGGGTCAGCAGGACAGGGAAAGGGTGCAGTCCAAGAATCATTACACTTGTTCCACAAGTGGCTTCGCCCTCAGAGACTTCTCACCAACCCAAATTTCACCTTTTTTGCCCAGGGTGGAGAGTTGAGGTGCCTCCCACCCCTGCACTAACCTAATCCTGACTTTCAACCTCAGTTGCAAAGAGATTAAATTTAGAAAATTGCAAAAGTACCCTATTTTCCTGTTGACCATGGACTGAACCAGGAAGTACTTACCAAGGTCATCTTCAGCTTGTCTGTGACGGCTAAATTGTACTTATGGACTTTCTCTTTGATTTCCTCTTTGCTGAGGTAATTGTGAGTTTCCTTCTCTTTCTCCACATCCTAGAAGAAAAACAAATTATGTCACGCATGAACAGCTACAGAGGGGAAAATGCTGATAAACCAGGGTTCTTCTACACGCCACAGAAGAGTGGCCAGGCGCATTTCTCCTTGAGACACGCATGGCTACTCTAACTTCAAACCCACCAGGCTCACCCACCAAGTATGGTTCTCATTTCCCACACTGGTCTTCCTAGGATAACGAAATCAATCCACCAGCAACTAAGAACAAGACTTCATTAAATATTAATCTGCAAATCTGTCTTTGGTAAGTTTTCCTTCTGCAAAAATATCATTTGGCATGCCGGGCATTGGTGGCATACACCTTTAATTCCAGCACTCGGGAGGCAGAGGCAGGCAGATCTCTGGGAGTTCGAGGCCAGCCTGGTCTACAGAGCAAGTTCCAGCACAGCCTCCAAAACAATACAGAGAAACCCTGTCTCAAAAAACAAAACAAAAAACAAAAAAATCATTTGGCACAGTACCAGCTACTGGACATTTCCACTTCAAATAATTGTTTATTTATCTATTTTATTTTTATTTTATTTTCTTAGGCAGGGTTCCTCTATATAGTCCTGGCTGTGCTGGAACTTGCTCTGTAGACCAGGCTGCCCTCGAACTCACAGAGATCCATGGGCCTCTGTTTCCTGAGTGCTGTGATTAAAGGTGAGCGCCACCACAGCCAGACACATGTTTATTTTGAGACAGGGTCTCATTATGTAACCCTGGCTGGCCAGGAACTAACAGAGATCTGCCTGCCTCTCCCTCCTGGCTGTAGTCACTGCGTCCAGCTTCAAACAATATTTAAAAATGGACGTCCTGAGCTTCTCCCAAGCACACTTTATTGATGTCATGGTCTTTCCAGCATGTATTAGCAGCAAACACAGCAGGAAGTAAGTGCCAATTAACTAGCAGCAGCATCAACGACGTGTCAAATTATACACAACCACCAGAGGGTAACTTAACTGCCAAATAGTCCCAAATGGTCCCTATGCCAAGATACGAGTGACCAGGCCCCTCCACCCACCACCCTGCCCACTCCTCCCCACATCTTCTCTCCCTGTAACCCCAAAGGGGAAATACTGACCCGTTAAATTCTCTCATGATTCTTTAGAGTTCACTAATAATTTACCTCCTAAAGATCCCATGTCCTACCTTGTTTTATATCAAATTGACACAGGGTAGAGTGATGGGGAAGTCCTGTGTATATGTCAATAAAGCACTGTTGGCCAATAGGGAAGCAAGATAGGTGGGACTAGGAGTCCAGGAGGACTCTGGGTAGGAGAAACACAGGGAGTCATCATGTAGCCCACCAGAGAAGTAAGATGTCCGTCCAGTAAGAGAAATACTTAGATGGGTTAAATACTTAAGTCAGAGCTAGCCAGTAAGAAACAAGCAAGGCCAACAGCTTCATAATTAATACAGTGTCTTGTGTGTTATTTGGGGACTACAACGCGGCAGAGCCCAGGCGACTGGTGGGGAAAAACCAAAGCGGCTGGCAAGGAAAAGGCTTCACTCAACAGTAGAGTCACTTGGGAAGAGGGAACGTCACTTGAGAAAGCACGCCCACTGGACAGAACTGTGGGCAAGCCTGTGGTGCGTTTTCTTGACTGAATGATGCGAGTGGGCAGTCCAGTTTACACCAGTGGTCTTGGGTGCTACACCCGTGCAAGCTGAGCATTACTCCAAGGCCTCTGCATCTGTTCCTACCTTCAGGTTCCTGACCTGATTTCCTGGAACGATGGGCTACACACTTTTCAGATACAACCTACAACAGACTCATCATCTAGCAGGAAATGAGCAAACAGACCTAGAAGGGTGAGCCAGCCCCAAGGCCCTGTTGATCAGAGTCTGACCCCAGCAATGGAAACCCTAACAAAGACAACACAGGTGCAGCCATGCAGTCACAATGCCTCACTGTGACACCAGGCACCCAACCGGGTCACACGTAACTCTCCTAGCTACCAGGCAAAGCTGGCTTAATTACTCAGTGTCCAGGTAAGACTGAGTTCTAGGAAGAGAATTAACCTGCCTGAAGTGAAGAAAGTTTGATGCTGAATGGAGACCTGGTCCCAAAGCCCAGCAACTCTCCTGAGCTCAACTGTCTAGCCGCCTGTCCGTGTCTCCATGTGGGAGACTTCGTTTAATCCACTCCAGGTAGAGTCTCTCTGTGGAATGGAGAAGTAACAGGAGAGGTTTGCAGAGTTAATAGGCTCTGCCAAAGGCATCCCCGCCAAGCTCTATCTTACTCCAGGTCCTACAGGTCATTTCCACTAAACTGGATAGGTCTCCAAGGCTCTGGTGTAGACAAACATTTGAAAATGCAAAGAACATGTGTGCAGTCAGATTCAAACTCGAGGGGTAAACTGGAAAAAGTGACACTAAACATCTTCGGGACCGATTACATTCGGATGGTTTGTCCCAAGAAAGAAAGTATGAAGACATCCTCTTCCAGCTCAGTCATACTCAGCCAGGCTGTGGTGGCACATGCCTTTAGTCGCAGCACTTGGGAGGCAGAGGTAGGCAATCTCTGTGAGTTTGAGGCCAGCCTGGTCTACAAGAACTAGTTTCAGGACAGCCTCAAGAAGAGGGAGGGAGGGAGGAAGGGAGGGGGAGGGAGGGGGAGGGAGGGGGAGGGAGGGGAGGGAGGGAGAGAGAGAGAGAGAGAGAGAGAGAGAGAGAGAGAGAGAGAGAGAGAGAGAGAGAGAGAGAGAGAGAGAGAGAGAGAGAGAGAGAGAGAGAGAGAGGAGAAGCTCACCATGCTCATAGCTGGATACTCTCCAGGCAGGCAGCTGTTCCATGAGTGATCCCCCAAGTGGCAGTGGCATAAATACACCAGGAATGGCCACTACAGAACCCATGGGCGGAATGCCATCCAGAATATAAAAAGGCTCTGAGGCCCTAACAACTGTAACAGATATCAACCGACCGAATTTTCAGTTTCTACACTGGTGTGGCTGGCACAGTCTCCAGGATTAGAACCCAGGCAAGACTGGAGAAATACCAACACCGGCAACGTGCTCATCTCCTTGGCCCCCTGGGCAAGCCTGAAAGACCTTTGGGAATATTGCCAGTATCAATGTAGTTCCCACCCCACCCCACCCCTGTAACATTTGTTGTTACTGTGGGTTAAGATTTTCTAAAAAAAAATTCTAAGGAAATGTAAAATATGTAGCCCGAGCTGGGCATGGTGGTACAGGATTAAAGAATCCTAGTATCTAGGATGCAAAGCAGATCTCTGTGAGTTCGAGGCCATTCATTGCAAGTTCTAGGACAGCCAGCGCTACACAGAGAAACCATGCCTATAAATTAATTAATTAATTAATTAAAATATAGCCCATTTCTCCTCAATTCTCGTTTCAGCTGACAACTAATCAGTCAATGGCCACAGCTGACCAGGGAAATGAGGTAGCCTTTGTCTACATATTCAGTTTGTAAGTAATAACACCCCAGGGGCTCTTCAAGGCAAATATACAATTCTTCCACAGAAGACAGGGTAAAGGACGTTGCCTCCTCCATAGATAGCAAACTGCTTATGTCCCTTATAAAAGAAATGGCACAAGATTTGCCAATTACTTAGGCATCTGTTCTCACACAGCTTAAATCGTCTCCAGGCTATTTACCATGCCTATACAACGTCAGTGCTCTAGAAACAGTTGGCACTGCATCGAGAAAGTAATACTAGCGAGAAAAGGCCATTCTGTGCACACTCAGTACACATAGCAAATGGTTGGCTGAATTTGAAAACAGACATCACCCAGGTTCAGATGGGATACTACTCTAAAACGGGTATAGTAAGAATTGCATAGCCTGGGCTGGCCAGTGGTGACACACACCTTTGATCCCAGCACTTGGGAGGCAGAGGGCAGAGGGCAGAGGACAGAGGATCTTTGTTCGTTCTTCTACAGAGTGAGTTCCAGGATAGCTAAGACCTTTGCACAGAGAAACCCTATCTCGAAAAACCAAACCAAACTAAACCAAAAGAATAGCTTGGTGTGCTGGCACAGGCCTACAATCCCAGCACTCAGGAAGCATCTAGCCTAGGCTACATAGTGAGACCCTGTCTTTAACGAAAGAGGGAAACAGCTGAGTGGTAGCAAGCACGAGGCCTTGCGTTTGACCCCAGCTCTGCAAACAAGCCCCACGTTAATGGCGTTAATGGCGTGGGGTGACAAGGGTAGTAAGACAGGAGAAACACAGCATTCCAGCAGTGAGGGGCGGCAGGGGGGCTCTGTTCCCTAGTCTACGACAGGGCCTTGGGGCTCGCTCACCCTTCTAGGTCTGTTCGCTCACTTCCTGTTAGATGACCAGTCTGTAGTAGGTTGCATCTGAAGAGCTTGTGACCTAACAGCAAAAATGTCTTCTCTTCCGAGATCTAATCTGATGCTGCTCTCTAGTAAGTCCAAAGGAGGGACTTGGCTCCTTATAAGGAATCAAGGAGGCTTAGGTCCCCAGACCACTAGCTGCACATAAACAGCGCTGCGTGTGTATCCTGGGGCTTCACCTGGGTGAGAATCCTAAGGAAAAGAGGTGAAGGGGCAAAGAAGGGGCTAAATTAGTCAATTCCCAGGCTTGGAGGCAGCCCCTAGGTCTCTGGAACCAGAGACCCAAGGCACTGTAAGGCAGATCAAAAGAACCATGTCCCCAGGATAACCCACACAGCACAGACCGAACTCTTACATAACAGTTATCTTTACTTCTCAGAGATTAGGCCAAGGAAAGACTAGAAGGCTTCTAGAGAGTTGGAGCCCAGGATTTACAAGACCCCTTCTGGGCTGAGGACTTCATTATTCGAAGATCAACCTGACAGTAAATCCTAGGAGAGCAGAGAATTTCAGAGCTGGGTTCAAAAGAAGAAAATGGGGGTGTCTACTCACGTACCAATCATACAGGCTTGTGCCTGTGGGGTGGGGGATGGGTGGACAGACATGGGACTCACTGAAGCAGCAGCCGTCTCTACCTCTGGGTAATCCAGGCTGAATGTGTCTGACAAAGTCACCTGA